TTCCCAAGTGCCAATTATAGTATATAAACGTAACAAAAATATAAAAGATTACCTTGAGAAATCAAGGTAACAGTTGAAAGACATTTGAAAAGGGTCCATGCTTAAACAGTTTTAAGGATGTTCGCTACTCTGTTTCAGAATAACAAGCTTTTTAAAAGACTGTTATAAGTTGATAGTATATAAATAAAGAAACTCAAAAAGCAGAAAAAAATTAAGGGTCAGTGTGCTTGTTTTCGAGATATAAGCCATTGCAAATTTGGCGGGGAATGATTCTCTCTAGATTTTTCATTCATTCAACATTGGTACCTTTTTTCATTCAAAAACTATGAAAAAATAACAAGGATTTTATAAGATTTTCAAAGATGGCATTTTAAACTATATGTAATCAAATTATGGGAAAAAAGTAGGGATTAGTGGGCAAAAAATTTTATGGCACTACATGGATAAAACTAGAGGATTCCGAATATCTGTCAAAAATTCAAAAATAAGAGGAGCGAACATCCTTAAGCAAAAAATCCCGATATACTGTTAGTAATAATCTGAATTATAGGCAACAAATTTATGAATATGAGTTAGCAAAACAAGTTGTTTATTACGAATGATGGTTGTAGGAACCGCATTTCATTATAATGACAAGAGTTCGGGAGACCAAGGTATTAATCTGTTGAATTAATCATCTCATGATTATTCTTTAGTAATTTGCATATTAATCTCAGTGTGTATTTTTGAAATCTCATTGTGTAATTAACAATTCTCAGTGTGTGTTTTTCAATTTATTTCATCTCAGTGTGTCTTTTTAAAATCTCAGTGTGTAATTTTAAATTCTCAGTGTGTGTTTTTCATTTTTTGTAAATCTCAGTGTGTAATTTCGATTTCTCAGTGTGTTATTTTAGGTTCTTAAATCTCAGTGAGTAATTTTTTCGAAAAAATGGTTTACACATTGTTTTGACGACAACGGCTTGCCATAGCCTAAGTTAAGGTTAATGACTTAATGGCATACAGTCAAATCATGAAGAAATATGTCGTTCTGTCAATCTTTTAACAAATATTATTTCACAAGAACGTATTCACAGCGTTCTGGTAGTGACCTCAAATTTAATTGGGTACTTCCTCTTAAATTGACCAATAGTCGAAGTAAAGTTGCAATCCGATATGAATTATTTGAGTTATCATCCGGAAATCAAGATGACTAACGGACAGACGGACAGATCCGGGACTGATAGACGGACGAGTCAAAAGCAATATACATACGCTTCTTGCTTCGTAGTTTGTAGTATAAATGCATTTTTGGGCCATTCACATGGCATTCTTTACAAACACGATAGATGATAGATTCGCTCATAATTCCTACACTGTCCCCCAATAATTTTCAACAATACAGTAAAACAAATTAAGTACATTCAGCATTCATTAATGAGATATAACTCAAGTTTTTGTTGCATCTTATCAAAAAATATTCATTACAAACATTATCAACCAATCAGTGGAGCACAAGTCTTTTTTAACTGATGTTTCCAGTTTGTTCTATTGCTATTTTGTTCCAACACCGTCCTATGTTAGGGAAAGGGTTTAGAACTCACAAATATATTTGACCTGCTAATTTGTTCTTATTTGTTCTTCCCAATCCTAGGTCTATCAACATAGGCAGGTGAATGTAATCCAGTGGGTGTGATTATTTCTGTCTGCCATAATTGTGTTCGTTTATATGTTGCATTAAGCATAAATAAGGCTGCTGGTTTCCTGTTTTGAATCGTTTCACATTTTGTCATCCCGGGGTCTTTGCGTCTTTTATATAATAAACTGAATGGAATTTTCGCAAAAAGTTGTAGTGCAATGGAACAACGATAAAGGCGGGTTAAGCCCCTTCCATTAAGATCTCGAGAACAATCTGTGCTTTTGTTTGATATTTTTCTGCTTTGTATCAATCTGATGAGTAATGCCTTTTTCAACTGATTTGTATAGTTTGTTTTTATGTTGTGCTGTTACACCACTGTCACAGGTTAGAGGGAGTATTGAGCGCTCACAAACATGTTGAAACCCGCCACATTCTTTATGAGCCTGTCACAAGTCAGGAGCATGAAGTTCAGTGGTTGTCGTTGGTTCATGTCTGTCATATTTGTTTTTCGTAAATTATTTTGCTTTAAATTGGGCCGTTAGTTTCTCAATTTAATTGTTTCATATTTTTCATTTCGGGGCCTTTTATAGTCGACTATACGGTATGGGTTTTTTCATTGTTGAAGGCCGTACGGTTGCCTATAATTGCTTACACCCACTTTATTTGAACTTTGGGGGATAGTTGTCTCATTGACAATCATACCACATCTCCTTATTTTTTTAAATTAATGCTAAAATACGTACGAACAGGATGTCCACTTTTTGAATAACAAAATGGCGTAAAGACACAGGTCCTCTTGTCTGTATAGTATACTGGTAAATGAATACTTAGATATTTAAAAGAAAAACATTTAAATATCGATTGCATTTTAATGAGAATATGTATTCCAAAGCCCACCAAATTGACGAACATATTTTATGTGAACAGCTATACCTGCAGCTTTATAAAAAGGGAAATACTTGTTTAGTTAGGCTTCTTATGGTATAAAACTTATCTAGCTGTCCATATGAAAAATACAACACATGAATCGTCTATCAAATTCAATCCTAGAAATCTACTAATTTTTTTTTAATGCCAATGTGTATATAACGCAAATACACCAATGTGACCGGTTTGCATAGTTTGTAAACGGAGTTTAAGAGTGTAACATAGAAGGGAAGGAAACTGTTAGTACTTATATCGTGACCTGACACTATACATAATGGGGAATTTTGATTACAATTGAATAATTAAACTAGTACTCATATGTAGAAGAACATATGAAAGATCTGAAACGTAAGATCCGTAAAATGAGCATACCCGCTGCATTTTTATGCACCTGTCCTAAGTCAGGAGCCTGTTGTTCAGTGGTTTTCGTATGTTGGTGTGGTTCATAAGTGTTTCTCGTTTCTCGTTTTTTATATAGATTAGACCGTTGGTTTTCCTGTTTGAATTGTTTTACACTAGTCATTTTGGGGCCCTTTATAGCTTGCTGTTCGGTGTGAGCCAAGGTTCCGTGTTGAAGGCCGTACTTTGACCTATAATTGTTTACTTTTTACACACATGTGACTTGGATGGATAGTTGTCTCATTGGCACTCATACCACATCTTCTTATTTATATAACATAGCGAGGAAAGATGGGCCAATTGTCCAGGGTTGTATTTGTTTCACTCGCAGTGTCAGAATCAGAAAGTTGCTGAAACCTAATAGAATTTGAATATAAAAAAGAAATTGAGTAAACTACCTAACCGAAGGTATAGTTGACCAATTTATTGTCGAGTTACTGTTTTATTGCTCTTTACCCAAAACCTTTTATTTTTATGAATGAATTCATACGCGATAAACAATTTAACAACTTTACTTCCGGAACTTTAATTTTATAGTGGTTTATTTAGTCTTTCGAATTACCATTTTTTAAATATTCAAAATTATGAAAAATCTTTAAAAAAAATGGCAATTTAAACATACTGAGAAATACGCCACATTGTTGTCAGAAACTCAAAGTGCGTCAATAAAACTGTGATATTTTATAAATGGTCTTGTGTAAAGTAAGTACAGAGGAAATGTACCCTTCCTCTTTTCGTATCTTCAATTTCTGTAACACATTCCTCATAAAAGTTATTTTAGTAATAACGGATGCACCAATAGAAAGAAGTTATGAATACCCGGATCAACTGCGGATCAAACTGATTTTAATTTATATGGTAAATTTGTTTTACAAGTGTAAGTCCATATCTTTTACTTTCTGATCAAAGGTTTATATTGTTAGGATAAGTATGAAGTCCATAGAATGAATGTTAATACAACAAACACGACACTATATTATTTTCAAGAGTACTTTAGCTTTATCAAATATACAAATTCATCGAAATATTAAGGTTGTATAGATTTTAATAAAACTTGGTAGAGAGATAACATATCACATACAGGACAAAGAGACCACATGTATTCTATAATACAATAATGCTTCCTTTAATACACACAGTCTTTGTTATGTTGTTAAATCCGAGGAATATTATCTTCACGATTTAACTATATTAGAATTTGTAAACTCATGGTTAAATTTGAAGTTCAAAAAGTATAAACGCTTATTCTTAAATCGATTCATTTTTTAGAAGAACATGTCCCGTTATATAGTGTTGACTGCCGTTATATTTATTTCGACCTGCCTTGTTTCTGATGCTAAGTACAGATGTAGATCAGGTGTATACCAGTGTGATCTTGATCCATGGACAACTTGGTCAAATTGTTCCTCTTCATGTGGGGGAGGTACACGATCACGATTTACGCCGATGTGCTGCTCCAAAAATTACACATCAATGGCTGATTGTGCATCCGACTGCAGTATACAACCGAGCAGCATCATTCAAAGAAAGGCGTGTGGACAAACGTGCGTACATGGTACATACAGACAGAATAGTTGTCAATGTTCCAATGGGTATCACGGAAAATGTTGTGACAAAAGCAAGTATTTACTTAAATAATGTAAAAAGTTAAAGTATTATTCATGTTTTCTTCATTTAATATAATGTTTTGTTTTTATATCGCGACAATTAAATCTTTATTTTACCACACATCCTATAACCTGTTTTCGGTATGATATCCCGTTTTGTCATATAACACATTAAGTACTCATGATCACGTAATTTACATCAATGTCGTTCAAATTTTAAAGTTAGAGCGTTCCTGATGGAGGCACCTCCTACGTCCTTATAAGTAAAACGTTGTTTCTACCATTAAATAATGTTTACATCTCACGTAAACATAATATGTACATAGTGCATAATATTGCATCAACAAAATAATTGATGTGTTTTCAATTTTTTTTTTAAAAGACTAATATATCTTAATAATAAATTATGTTTTGAAGAAAATAAAAGGCTTATATTGTTCTTTTGTTTTCAGTTGGAAGTACCAGTAAACACCAGACAACTCAAGCAAACGGTGAGATATTGGTCATTTTGATATGTCCATGTACACGTTTGTTATTAGATATCGCTATTTCGTTGGATCATTTTTTGAAACAGAAAAAAGGAAAATTAATAGCAACGTTATATTTTCAAAATATTTCTTTAGCCACATTATATTATTTCAGACAGTTTATCCTGATGAGCACAATGCCAAACTTTGGACGCAACCAATTCTGAAGTAACGTATTGTCTATATATATACAACTGTTACAGCGAGAGAAAAAACACGAAGTAACGTATTGTTTATGTACAACTGTTACAGCGAGAGAAAAAACATGAAGTATGCAAATAATATTCCGTTAACTTTGCGACAATATAAGATGCAACCGGCAATTCAACTTCCGTATACTTCAGATGTGTCTAACATTTTATAAAAAACCAAATCAGGAAAGCATATAAAGCACTAAATAAGTTACTCAAATGTTATGTCCTGTAGAATAAAACGCAGATGTCCTGTAGAAAAAACGCAAATGTCCTTTTAAAAAAAACGCAGAAGTCCATTAAAAAGGCGCAAACGTCCATAAAAAGGCGCAAATATCCTATCAAAAAGTGCAAACGTCCCGCTCCGTTTATCATAATTGAAGGGCAGAGTTTGTATTTTCCTTTATTTGGCTGCCAAATTTCAATTACTTTCTCATGCTTTTAGCCCCCTTTATTGTTAATGGGAGAATTTTTTGAAGGGTCAGACTGGCATTTAAGAGAGCAATTCTGTTTTAGTATTTATAGGGTGATTTTAATCACTTACTGGTTCACAAAAATCGAAAATGAAATGTTGACCATTAACTCAAACAATCATCAACCATATATGTTTCATAATCACATAAAATTTAAGAAAAGTTGAAAGATTACTGACCAGCTGCTAAACCATATGTCAACCATTGAACTAAAGGGAGAAATATATTACAAATTTAAGCACCTTTACATAATTTTCATCTATGTACAATATCCCATTTAAAAGATGGGACTTCGTTCGTGGTACTGTGATCTTATCCAATAACCTATATTGATATGCTTTAGGTTTTTGATTTATGATTTTCAAATATTTCGGCCTCAAGCATCACTGAAGAGACATCGTTAATTTTGTGATGATGATTAAAGGATTTGGCATGTAGTCTTTGTTTAATTGTTCACAACTTGTTTAGACTCGGGGCGATTAAGAGCTTAGCGTATGGTGTTGAATCTGTCTATTGTTAAATACAGCATGTTGATCTATATATGGTAGGATATTTTGTTGTTGGATTGATGTCATATTGATGTATAGTCACCATTTCCTTTTAGACAGTTGATATTACGGAAATATTGGACAACTCAAATACACGGTGAACACATATTAATTTGTTACAACGGTTAACATTATCATTTTGATAAGAGATCTTAAATGCATAGAGTTCTTCTTATTTCAAAAGTTGTTTAAAAAAAAGCGGAAAAATAACAGCAATCTCCTTTTTTGCAGGCATTGAAATAACAGATGAATCGGATAATAAGGGATGTTTTCAGAATAAGTCTGTTACAACAATGATGGCATTGATGATTATAGCAGTCGTAGGAGTAGCTGTACTGGATACCGTTCTCGGTTACCATTTCTACAAACTTAGGAAACAGTTAATGGGAGGATCTCATATGGCTTTGACGACCAGTGGAGTTGCTCCTGTATCCACGATGATAAAGAAATAAATGTGTGAATTAGTACTATTTGACATTTTCGTTTATTCATTCACTCATTTGACATCATGTAACATAATTTATTTTTATTTTTTCGAATACTAGTAGCCTTCATATGATTTTTTTTTAAAACAGCAAAATCTTTTTCCCTTTCCTGTTGTTAAATTTCCTTTCCTTGATAGTTTTATCCCTTGAAGCTTCTGTAAACATTTTCCGCAGTTGTTTCAGGATTCAATAGCTTACAGAAGCTTAGGTGCAGTAATCGAAATATTTTATTTTAATAACAAGTGTGGACACGGATCAGTGTGGATAGTAATTTTTAAATTTGTGTTAGTATGTTTGACAGTGTTATCGTCACCGAGTTAATGTATTGGTTGTGCCCCCACCTTATGTTTTGAGCTATTTCTTTATCTTTCACATATGGTTATATGTTAAACTGTGTTCCACGGTGACGGTTATCTTTGCATTTTGAGATAAGAAGCAAAAGCTCAAAATTAGCATTGTGCAGGGTTAGACATTAGTTGTTTTTTAAACAACTTGTCCTATGGGCAATCATATTATACTTGTCTGAAAGAAACAATTTTCTGAAATTTTGTACTTGCTTAAGAAATTTCTACACTGCATTTACAGGCATAAAATGATGTAAAATTAGCTCTGTTTTTCTGCCGAAAATTTTCCCTAGAGTCAGCTGCCATCCCATCTTATAAATAACATAGTACATTAGGATTGTTATTTAGGAACATTAAATGCTCTCTATCCAATGAAAACGCTAGGAATAAAACTATTTCTTAAGGCCCATGTGCTTTATCTGGGATAAATATTGATGTGGCTCTTGTATATTTTCATCCACAGATATCCTCTCCTTAATAAAAAGTAGCGCTGAAACTTGAGAAAGTTCATAAATAGTTATCATTTTAAATAGATATATTTTCTTATTTTTCTTTATTTCACTTAGGTTCAAGGTTTATGAAAATCAATAATATTAAAGTTGCATGTAGGTCCAATCTGAATGGTTCGTCATAGAATGTGTCCACAACTGATTCTTACTCTGAGCCATTATTTTTTTTAAATACTAAAAATAGGAAAGTTTGTCGATATTGTCAGGGATTACTATCATAATGATTTACTTGTTAAAAAGAGAATGAATGAAGAAAAGATTCTGTATTTTTCAACTTTAAATTTTTACTTGTCCATGTTGTCCAGGGCAATTTGAGCAGCTGTTAATGGCTAACCATGATAGTGTCATTTATTCAATATTTGTTTATAATGTTCAAGTTTTGGAGAAGCTACATATGTTTTTTGTATTTGTATGGATTTCCAAAATGATTGCATTGTAAAAAAACACCAAGCTTATACGACTCATCAGTGATACTCAAACCAAAAAGGTAAAAAGGCCAAATAAAGTACAAAGCTAAAGAGCATTGAGGATCCGAAATTTGGAAAGGTTTTGCCAAATACAGTTTAGGTAAATTCCACTCTAGTGACAATATGTGTTTTCGCAGAATCACCAGAACTCAAAATTAGTAGAGGTCTTAGTTGGCAAGAAAGATTTTGCAGAAGATTGATAAAAAGTAGGGGCAATACCTCACATGACCCTTTTGGGCTCACGCTTGGTGAGATAATAGGTATCGAAATTATACTTTTATGGTGTGTCTTGAAAAGTTTTCTGCCTAGACTCCCAAGGCCTCGTTGAAATAATATAAAATATTTTTTAAAAATTACATTAAATCTAATGAAATGATAGATTCAATTTATTTGTTCATGATTATTGATTTCTAGGGGGGAAAAATATGAAAAATAATAATTAAATAACACAACTATATTATTTGACTGATTTGAAATGGAAAAACTCCAGAATCAATTTTGTTTAAAAAATTTCGATTTGTGGGGAAAGATATAAATAATAAACCTTGATTTTAATAAAAACTTATGCATCAATGATTATCAATGTCGTAAATTTACAGATCGTCTACTATTAATTCCTATCTCAAATACTTGTATAAGGACTTATCAGTAAATTAATATCATACTGTTTTACACATATGCACATTTACGGTTCTACAATCTGTCGATACCTATTTCTTGGCATTGCGCAAGGTCATGATTTTTTTTATCTGACTGTTAATGACGTCTTTACACTAAGTTCAGTGAATGTTTGATGTGTGCTGATTGATATTTTAGTCTTAGATACATACTTGTTTTATTGTTGAATGTTATTGGCTTTGAACTAACTGTCAGTTACTGCGAGTACTCTCAGATCTGTACTTTGTGTCTTTTTTGTTGTGGGGGTGTAAAATTTCCTGCCACGTCTAGTCAGTGTTTTTGTTAGTTGCTTTTCTGCTTTGTATCGATATGATGAGTTAAGCCCTTTTCAACTGATTTTTATAGTTCGTTCTTATGTTGTAATGTTACACCACTGTCCCAGGATAGGTGCCAGCAAACATGTTTGACCCCGCCACATTCTGTATGTGCATGTCCCAAGTCAGGAGCCTATAGTTCAGTGGTTGTCCTTTGATGCTGTATATCATATTTATTTTTCGTTTACTGTTTTATACATAAATAAGGCCGTTAGTTTTCTCGTTTGAATTGTTTTACATTTGTTATTTCAGTGCTTTTTATAGCTTACCTTGCGGTATTAGTTTTGCTTATTGTTGAAAGCCGTACGGTGATCTATAGTTGATAACTTCTACGTCATTTGGACTCTGGTAGAGCGTTATCTCATTGGCAATCATACCACATTTTCTTATCTTTTTATTAATATGGAATCATGATTCCTCACTTGCAGGAATTCTTCGATGGAAATGTTTCTAGTAAGCAAGCTTAAGTTATGAACCTGCTATTCGGTGTTTGTCGTTGGTTCATGTCTGTCATATTTGTTTTTTATATGTAAAGAGTATTGTTAAAAATTAGGCCATAAATTCTTTGTTTGAATTATTTCCCATTTGTTATGTCGGGGCCTTTTAGCTGGCTATACGGTATGGTTTTTCTTACACGCTGACCTGCAATTGCTTATACCCACGTCAATTACAGGAATACCTCCTCGTAACTAACGCAACATAGAGTATAATCAAACAACAAAATGGACAATGGTCTGACGATTTCCACATGTTCTAACACTCAATACTCTAGAGATGAGCCTAAAATTGTAACCAATACTCGTCACAAAAACTTTGAATTAAATCTTGACAAAGTAATGGCAAAAAAGCTTGAAGCTACTAAGCGCCCAGTCAATATATCATATAAACTTACAGGAGAGGGACTTACTGCAAAAGCTGACACTGTATCATTTGAACTGATGAAAAATGCCATAATACATTATTATGAACAACTAGATGTCAACAACACACATATAAACATCAGGGTTGATAGAGATCTAGACAAGAAAGGCTTTATAGTTGGCTTGGTTATCAGAGTTACCGCTAATGATATCCCGAGATACACATTGTCTGTACACTATACATCATGCTCACTGCTCGTGAATGGGAGGGACACACTGAGATTTTTTACAATTGATCTACCCGAAATACACAGGACAATTAACTAGGTGATCTTAAATGGCACCAAAGTTGATCTCCAATCTCTCAATAAACATTTAGAAAAACAATTACAAAAAATGCTCGAGGAAAGACAAAAATTTGCATCAGAACACTCTGACCCTAGTAAATAAAGGCAACAGTAGTATACCGGTGTTCAAAAGTCATAAATCGATTAAGAGAAAACGAATCCGGGTTATAAACTAAAACCGAGGGAAACCCATCAACTATAAGAGGAAAACAAAGGAACAACAGGAACACTAAAGTTCAACAAAAAAACCCGCCAATAACATAGAAACGAACTATTTGATAACAACTGCCATATTCATGACTTGGTACAGGACATTTAAGAAAAAATTGTGGGTTGAACCTGGTTTTATGGCTAGCCAAACCTCCCGCTTACATGGCAATGTTAAAAAATAAATCACTACGTGACAGAAATACAGCACAAACACTCATCACAGAGAAACGCACAAACAAAATTAATAATAAAATAGTCGACACAACATGCAAAACCGCAGAACAACAGCGAACATCTTCCATTAAAGACAGATACCACAGGACATCACAAACAGTGACGCACTTACGTAACGAACATGCAATCTCGAACTTTATACAATTATTTTCACAATACCAGTCCAAACAATTTTCATGACAATGATGGTATTGAAAGGCTATTTTATAATTATTAGAACTACAAACGATAAGACATAACACAGTATCCAACCGAAACCATAACAGAAGCATCAAAACTAAATAAATGAATATTGGATGTACAAAATACCGTGTTAAAAATGTCAGTGGTTAGTTTAGACACAGACACATTGCATAGATCAACCAATTCGTGATGGTGTCCATAAAATTTACGGAGTGTCATTTTTAATCTTTCCTCCTCATAACTCTGTTGGAGCAGTTTCTGCGTATGGAGCACACTCCTGTATATGCAGTCAGTATAGTGTGAACATGCACGAGCATAACGTATCAATTGAGATATGTAAACACCATACGACGGAGCAAAGGGTATGTTATTGCTGAGAAATGGGAAATTGATAATTGGGAAGTTAAAATCATCCCGCGGTTTGTCATAGATTTTAGTGTGAAGTCGTCCATCTGTGTCAATATTGAGGAAAAGATCATGGTATGAAGCAGTCCTTGTATCAGTAGTATTCTTAATTTCAAGTTCACTGGGATATATGAGATGCAAGTACTGACTGAAATTTGGGTTATTCAGTGATAGGACATCATCAATATATCTGAAAGTAAAATTAAAGAATTTTGCAAGGTGCTTTTTCTTTTTGTCTGTTAGAAGGTTCTGAATGAATTCTGCTTCATACGAGTACAAAAACAAGTCGGCCAGAAGTGGTGCACAATTAGTACCCATTGGAATACCGACTGTCTTTTGAAATATCAATCCTCCAAACTCAACAAACAAACAAGTCCAGCATTTTGATAATATCATCTTCACTGTATTTTCTGATAGAATCAGTGTGGTTCCTCACAAAATAAGAATGAGTATAACCCAAAACAAGAAATTTATATCTACGATTCCCATTTTTATAGAAAAAGCTCTGTTTAATGAGATGGTGAAGTCGATCTTTCAATTGAGCATGGGGAATAGTAGTGTAAAGCGTAGAAAAACCAAAGATCTTAATGTTGCTGCAAAATTGCAGAGATTGTGATCTAAGATTTAGCAGTAGATCTTTGGAATGTTTGAGAATCCACATCTGATTGACACCACTGGTTGAATATATCTCATCACAATAATTTGGAAGGCCATATTTTACTGTAGAAAGAATAGTAGTCATCACTTTAGAAAGATGTTTAGTCGAACATCTTGATGATCCAGCTGTGTATCGTTCTTTATATGGAGTTTTGTGAAGTTTTGATATCCAGTATAATAACGGTAGATTTTCGTCGTTTTCTTTGATGTTAATATCAAATGAAAGAAGGACAAATTTGTGATTTTGTAAAATTTCATCCTTTGTAAATGATGTT